CTGTACTTCACGACCATACTCCTTATTTTCCTTTTTATTGTTATTTTCATTCCTGCTTTTTTTTTTTTTTTCGTGAAATCTGTTTTTGTTGGACCACATATTCTCACTTCATCTTTGATTCTCTTTTTTTTTCTTGGCTTTTAAGTTTGCTGTAAGCATGGGAAGACAACAAAGTTGGATACCTATATGTACAGAGGTTGATTTTCTTCGATCCATATTTGATGGAGGAAATAAAAGTCCAAATAATGCAGAAATTCTACATATAATCTCCACCTTATCGTTACACAATCCTGTTATTTCTGAAAAAAATGTTGGTGATTAGTTTAAGAATAGACAAGCTTGTGAAAGAAAGAGAAAGCACATGTGCATTGAGAATCCTCAACTCAAGAATCTGATGCATGAAGTGCAACCTTGTTCTGCAGATCGACGTTTAAGGACTTTCAGCTTAACAGGTTGTATTTAGTAGTGTTTATGCTTCTTTGGGTGCTTGTATTTGTTTTGATTAGATTTTGTCAAAAAAAAAAAAAAATGATGTGCCAGATGGCGCATGAGTTCTCAGCTTACTAATTTTTTTGACAGTTTGAACAATCTAATTTTGTATTTTTTTTTATATAATAATTATGTTTAGTCTTTAGTTTGCTGTTTTAATGTGTTATTGTCAGAGAAATTTTTTTTGAAGGTTCCGCACTGTGTGGAGAGTGCGGAGGAACTGCGAACTGTTCGAAGATATTTTTTCTTTTCTTTTGGCAGTGTTTTTTTTATATAACATAGTTTTTCAAATGCTTTTTTGTTATAAATTTTTTTTTTTCAAATTTCTTCTTTTCATGATACTAATCAACATTTTTAATCAAGGAATAAGGGGAATGAGTGTGAGTGCAGAAAAAATTGGTGAAGTAAATACTTATGTTTTGCAATCTTCTAATTCTCCTGTTACAAAAATTTAGAAAAAAAAGCAGAGGATTTTGTTGTAATGGAAAGATTTTTAGTATGATTTATTTATTTCTACATCTTTTTTAAAAAGTTATTAGTATAGTTTTTTGTTCCTCCGTACTCTGCGCACAATTCACAGAGAGATATGTTTAGTTTTTAGTTTACTGTAGAAATTTTTTTTGAAAACTCCGCACGATGCGGAGAGTGTGCGAAAAGTGTGGAGGAATAGTGATATCTCCGCACATTTAGGAGAGATGAATTCATCTCTGTGAACTATTTAGAGAATTTTATTTTTTTAGCGGTCTTTTTTTATATAATATAGTTTTCTTTATATATTTCGTTATAATTTCCTCTTTTTTTTAAAAAAAATTTCTTCTTTTAATGATGCTAATCAACATTTTGAATAAGGGGAATGAGTACGAGTGTTGAATAAGGAAATACTTATATTTTGCGCTACAAAAGTCTATAAAAAAAGTAGAGGATTTTGTCGTTATGATGGAAATGTTTTTATATTTATTTACTTCTACATCTTTTTAAAAAAAATTGTTAGTGTTTGCCTTTGTATAGTTTTTAGTTTATCATCTTATTGTGCTTGTATTTGTTTTATTTGTTTATTAGCCGAAAATTCCTCCGCACTCTGAGAATTCGCAGAGATCAATTATATGTTCGAACTTTTTGAAGTTTTTTTTTAAATAGCTCTTGTTTGGTCATATTTTTATATATAATTATGTTTATGTTTAGTTTATTTACATGAAATGCCTTTTTCCTTACAATTTCTTTTTTTTTTTTTTCGAATTTTTTCTTATAGGTGATGCTAATCAACGTTTTGAATTAGGAGGAGAATCAGGCGATGTGAGCATGAGTGTTGAATATGCAGAAAAAATTTGTAAATGAAGTATTCCTAATGAACCTTATGTTTTGCCATCTTCTAAAATTTGTGGTTATTGTGGTGCTACAAAATTCTATAGAGAAAGCAGAGACTTTTGTTGTTGTGATGGAAATGTCAAATTACAGTTACATGATATACCTTCTGAAATGTATGATTTATTTACTTCCACATCTGAAGAGGCTGTAGCTTTTAGAAAGGTTATTCGTAGTTACAACAATCATTTTGCGTTCACTTCATTTGGTGTTTAGTATGACAAAGAATTGTGTAAGAATAATAATGGTATATATACTTTTAGAGTTCAAGGACAAGCATACCATTTTATAAACTTGCATGTGCCAAAGAATGACAATCCAACTTATTACAGTTATACTTCTATTATACTGAAAATGAAATTTGTAATAGACTGAATACTTCTGATAAGTTTTGTGAGTTTACTTTAAGAAAGTTGATAGATGTTCTAAACAAAAATCCCTATTCAAAGTTTTTCCGATCATTAAGTGAAGTTAGTGATTTAGAATCATGTTGTATTTTACTAAAGTCTGATCCTGCTGTTGATCAAAGAGTATATAACTTACCAACATCAGAACAAGTGGTAGTAGTTTGGGTTGACGATGACCCATCTACAAATATTAGAGGTCGAGATTTATTAATTTATGGGCATTCAGGTAATGGTTGTTATGATCCTCTCCAATATCTACTACTTTTTCCGTATGGAGAACCTGGATGACATGAATGTATTGAAAAGGCGAATGTAAGTGTTTCACAAGCTCGGGTTTGTCAGAATTTAATAGAAGTTAATCATGTCCATTCTGCGGATCAATTATTGGAAGTAGAAGACTATCGTAAACGATTTTAGTAATTCTATTTTTTAAACTATTTTATTTATGTTATTAATTGCATTTAGTGAATGAAGTTTTTGTTGATATATTTTTTTTCCTTCTTGCAGTTTTGAAGGCAAAGAAAAAAACAAATAACTGTATCATGTTGAGAATATTATTGTTACAAGCTTCAAATCAGGTGTGTAAATAATTGTATTCTTTTACATGCTAGCAGACTTTTACAGCAATATGTTGTGGATATGTACGTAAAAATTGAAACAACAAGATTAGACTACTTTCGTAATAACCAAAAGGTTATAAGAGATTAACTATATCAGAGAATAGTGGATAGTGTACAAAATGGTGAGAATAGAGGTTATAAAATCGGTAAATCATTAGTGTTGCCTTCTGGTTTTATTGGAGGTCCTAGGAACATGACTAAAAGATATATGGATGCAATGTCTTTAGTTCAGAGATATGGCAAACCAGATGTGTTTTTGACAATGACTTGTAATCGAAATTGGCCTGAAATAAAATGTGAATTGAAACACAGTGATGAAATACAGAATATGCCAAATTTATTAGTACGAATATTTTGTGCCAAGTTTGAGGAACTGAAGGCAGATTTGGTTAAGAGAAAGTTGTTACATCCTATTGCTTCATATGTTTATGTTATTGAATTTCAGAAAAGAGGATTACCTCACGCTCATTTTCTCCTTATATTTAAACAAAATTCTAAGATCCGAAACTCTATACAAGTTGATAAAATTGTCTCATCAGAAATACCAGACAAAAAAAATGCCCTTACCTACATGCTACTGTTGTAAAACATATGATGCATGGTCATTGAGAGAATTTGAATCCTAAAAATGTTTGTATGGAAAAGAATTTTGTGTGTAAAAATAAATATTCGAGAGATTACATTAAAAATACTTCTTTGGGTAATGATTCCTACCCATTTTACAAGCATCGCAATGATGGTGTAAGTGTTAAAGTAAGAGGGTGTATGTTGGATAATAGATGGGTTGTACCGTATAATCCTTACATTTTAGCTAAATATGATTGTCACATTAATGTTGATGTGTGTTCTTCTGTTAAAACTGTTAAATATCTATACAAATACGTATATAAGGGACGTGATCACATTCATTTTACTTTAAATAAAGAAACAAACGAAGAATTCGTTGATGAGATTTCAAACTACCAAATAGCTAGATAGATATCTCCACCTGCGGCTATGTGGAGGATATTTAGTTTTGATTTATTTGATATATCTTATACAGTAATCTGTTTACAGTTACATACTAAAGATGCTCAAATGGTTACATGCAAGGAGACAGATGATTTATCAAAGGTTATAAATAAAGATTTTGTTCACCGAACAATGTTAACAGAATTTTTTAGAATGAATACTTCAAATGAAAAGGCAAAAACTCTACTGTATAAAGATTTTCCAACATATTTCATGTGGGATACATCCATGCGAATTTGGACTCCTAGAAAAAGCAAAAATGTTATTGGTAGAATAGTCAGTGCTAATCCATGTGAAGGTAAGAGGTATTTTTTAAGAGTTTTGCTAAATCATATTAGAGGGCCAAAATCTTTTGAAGATTTAAAAACAGTCAATGGTATTGTTTTATCTACTTATTGTGAAGCAGCACTTTCCCAGGATCTTCTTAGTGGAAATAACTATTTTGAAATGTGTTTATCTGAGGCAGTTGCTTACCAAATGCCCGTATCACTGCAACAACTATTTGCCAATGTATTAAGTTTATCTTACCCTACAAATCCAGGAATTTATGGAATAAATTTAAGAATTTTATGATAGAAGATTATTTATATAAATGTTTCACACAACAAAGTGCTGAAATGAAAGCTTTACACTGTATAAATTCTTTCTTAAATGGTGTTGGTAAGAATATAATTGATTTTTGCTTGGTAGATTTTGATTTAACTATATCTTTGAAACCATGATTGCCGATGAAACAACAAATATTAATTTTCAGCCAGACATACATTATAGTGAGAGCTTAAATAAAGAGCAACAAAATGCCTATGATATTATTTTAGATTGTGTTTTAAATGATAAGAATGGAATGTTTTTTATTGATGGTCCAGGAGGCACTGGAAAAATATATTTGTACAAGACATTACTTTTTGGTGTAAGATCTCGAAATCTTATCGCACTAGCAACGGCATCATCAGGTGTGGCTGCATCTCTAATACCAGTTGGTAGAACATGACATTCAAAATTCAAAATTCCGCTTGAAGTAAGTTGTGATATGCGTTGTTCGATGAGTAAACAGTCTACGCTTGGTAAACTTTTAGCATTGGCTAAGCTAATAATTTGGGATGAAGCACCAATGGTTCATAAATATGCTTTTGAGGCTTTAGATAAAATGTTAAGAGACATTACTGAATGTCAATTACCATCTGGTGGAAAAGTCATTGTGTGTGGAGGATTTCGACAAGTTTTACCAGTAGTACAAAGAGGAACAAAAGATGATATAATGAAGGCAAGTTTAGTTTTTTCGCATTTATGGCCTTCTTTTACACAGCTAACATTAACCAAAAATATGAGAGCTAAATTAGATCATTCATTTTGTGAATATTTGCTGAAGATTGGGAATGGAATAGAGAGAACACATTCATGCCAAATGATTACACTTCATGAAGATATTACCATCCATTTTGAAGATGAATTTAAATCATTGAAGGAATTAATTGACATTGTATTTCCCAATTTCCAGACATATGGAAACAACCTACATATTATGATGAATAGAATTATTTTAATCCCAAAAAATGAATATGTAAATTTAATAAACAATATATTGCTTAAAGAAATTACGGGAGAGAAAGTTACATATTTTAGTTTCGATGAAGTGATTGACAAAAATGAAGGTTTTATTGATGAAGTTTTTTTGAATAATCTAGCTCCAAACGGTATACCTTCACATAAACTTATATTGAAAAAAAAATTGTCCAGTTATGTTGCTCAAAAATATCAATCCTGCAGAAGGTTTATGCAATGGGACTAGATTTATTTGTAGTGACTTTAAGCATAATGTTATCTTGGCTGAAATTGGGATAGGAGAATATCGTGAAAAGCAAGTATTTTTACCTAGAATTCCATTTATTCCTCTTGAAGGCGATAAACAGTTGGTACCATTTAAAAGAACTCAATTTCCAATTCGTCCATGTTTAGCAATGACCATTAACAAATCTCAAAGTCAAACTCTAGATTTTGTTGGCTTATATCTTCCAGAACTTGTATTTTCCCATGGCCAATTGTATGTTGCATTGTCTCGAGCTAGAACAAGAGAAAATATAAAAATTCTTATCAAACATTTTGTCAAAAACAAATCACATACTTGTACCAAAAATATTGTCTATCATGAAATCTTGAATTTAGTTCACGGTAAATATTAGAATCTTCAGGTATATGCATAATTGTTTGTTATAATTCTTTATTAATTATATTTATTTTTACAAACACAAAATTGATAACAAATCTAAACTTATGACTTCTGATTGTCATGATGAAATATTGATTTTGCATAATTTTATCTTTGCAAAAAGAATTTCTGAAGTTTTCTTTCCAAAAAAATATTAATTAGTCGTCATGCTTTGTATTTTCTGAACATAAGTATTGATCACACATAACTTTTTTCATTGTCTTACTTTTTTTCTGTTTACTAATCGTCGTTTGTTATTCATATTAGACTGTGTAGCTGTCAGATATTGCGTGGTGCTTAATACGAATACAATTGGTGAAGCTGATATTTAGAAGTTTAGATAGAGATGAAAAAATCGTTTCTAGAAACCACTTCTGTAAGTTAAAATAATTTAATCATTTTACCATTCCATAATTATATTCCTATGTAAATATATTCCTATGGTAAGTGATATTATTACAAAACACACAGGCTGATTCTACTTGAAAACATATTCTTGAAGGTGAATCCATGTATATATGTGTGTTGATGTAACCATATGTGTATTGATATATAATATATAAGAAAATGTTATGTTTTAGTTAGAAAGACTGTAGTATTTTTTTAATTGTAAAGAAAGGAAAAAGTGTAATTTCTATGAAAATCTTTATGTAGTAGTTTAAGATAATTAATGAAAAAGTGAAATGAATAAACATAAATATTAAACATTATTGGTGTGCAAAGTTTCATCGACGAGTTAGAGTTCCGTCGTTGTGAATTTTTTTGTAAACCACGAACATTGGAGATTCGCTATTTAATAATTCAAATACTTATGTATCTTCAATTTGTAGTTCTTTCTCTGTCAAAAAATTGGCCCAGCCTACAGTAAGTCGGCGCATCACACCGTTTGATCTTGAATTTGCAGTGATATTCCAGTTGTGATGTAAAGAATTATGAAGCCGAACATTCCGCACATATCTTGGCAGATGGTGTCTTGCAAACCTTCCTGGTATAGACTTCAGAAAAATATGGATGATGTTAAGATTAAAATAATGTGAAAAAGGTAATTATAGAATGATATATTAAAGATAGCCTACAATTTCTCGATGGTTGTTCTGATTTAGTGTAAGTGTTACTTCGAATGCAAAATTATCCAGATGTAAAGCCTCATCTTCTTCAACATCAGAGCCATATGTAATCTTTGATCTAGAATGATCATATTGAACGTTGAATTTTCATTATATTCAAATACTACAACAAAATCATCCTGTAAGTTATGATGGTCAAAAAATTGTTCCCATTCATTAGTCAAATATGTTTCTCCATCGATTGTTTGTAATTGTATTGTTACAATTATACCATCATACGAAGTTAATCGTACTCTATCACCTAATTCTTGTCTCTAACAATTGACAAAAGATGTAGAAAACATCTACAATATATGAAAAAAATATAGGCAGTAAATAAAACATTCATACAAATATGAAATGAAAGAAGATATTATATTTTATATAACTTACCAAACGGATGTTATGATTTAGTGAAACGTCGATAATTTTGAAGAAGTTATGTGGCACATCCATTTTTGTGTTGATAAACTGCAGTATGTATGATTTTTAACACAATTAAAGATCGAAAATTATATGTCATTTAAAATTAAGAATTTATTTTGAAACAACTGTAGTAAAAGAATCAAGAAAGAAACGCTACATTAAACCTGATTTTTTTGAGGAAAGCTTGGTAGGTAAAGATAAAGATATGTAAATTGGTTAGGTATAAAGAAGTGGTATGAGAAGTTATTTAAACTAAACAATACTTGTCCTTTTTTGAGAAATGATTTGACAACAGCTTCACGGGGTAGGAATATTGAAATAGATAAAGTAAGAAATGGACAAAGTAGTTCAGACAAAACACTCTTCCCGAGATTATTTTTTAGATACTGCTAGATTTACTAAATTTGGTTAGAAATAAATTTTATTAATAAGATATAAAGTGTAAAAAAAAAAAAAAAAAGACTAATAAGATTAAGAAGAAATAAAAGTATAATTTTATGTAATTAACAAAAGAATAGTTTAGTTATACAATAAAACTATCCAATTGATTTGATACAATTAATAATTAATAATTTAAATTGCCAAAAAAATAACACGCAAATCCTTCGCACAGTGCAGAGTATTAGTTTGAATGCTGCACACTGTGCGGAGTAAGTTTACTATGGTTTGATTAAGTGCAGACAACTTTGTTATGATTAATACTGCAAAACAAATTGGCTAACATATTAATCAAATTATTTGATTAATCACTAAAACAATTATTAAACAATTAAAAATTAATAATTTAGTAAATAAAAATTTAAATCAAAACAAAAGGAAAAAAAAAAGGAAGGAAATACTCCGCGCAGTGCGAAGTACTTGTTGGAGTTACTCTGCACTGTGTGGAGCATCCGCACGCCTGGGTAGGAATATTGAAATAGACAAAGTAAGGAATGGACAAAGTACTTTAGACAAAACACTTTTATTACTAAGATGTAAAGTGTTGAAATAAAAAAAAATGACTAATGAGATTAAGAAGAAATAAAAGTATAATTTTATGTAATTAACAAAAGAATAGTTTAGTTATACAATAAAACTGTCAAATTGGTTTGATATGATCTAATATGGTAATCGATTGTTTGTTTATTGACAAAGTAAACAATTAATAATTAATAATTTAAATTGCCAAAAAAACAACAACACGCAAATGCTTCACACAGTGCGGAGTATTAGCTAGAATACTCCACACTGTGCGAAGCAATTTTATTATGGTTTGGTTAACTGCGAACAACTTTGCTATGATTAAGATGAAAAAAAAATTGGCTAATATATTAATCAAATTATTTTATTAATCAGTAAAACAATCATTAAACAATTCAAAATTAATAATTTAGTAAATAAAAATTTAAATCAAAACAAAATGGGAAAAAAAGGAGCAAAATACTCCACACAGTGCGAAGTACTTGTTAGAGTTGCTCCGCACTGTGTGGAGCATCAGGCGTGTGGAGCATTTGCTCCGTACAGTGCGGAGAAGTTCTTCGCACTGTATGGAGCAAAAAAAAATTTCTTTTAGATTTTGTTTTCCTTTGGATTGAAATTATTATTTATTATTAATTGTTTATGTCATGCGTCATACATCTATCTATCTGAATTTTACATGCATACACCCATGGTAAACTAATCTATTTCCATTCCCATGTACTTATAAATTTCAGACTAATCCATTCCAAATACAATATACTCTAAAATGTACTTATATATAACTTGTCATACTCTAGAATATACTTATATATAACTTACCATACTTCACCGATTTTATCTAATTTCTTTTTTACTTTAAACCATTTCATTTCTCTTGTACAAGAGTGATTTTTTTTTCTTTTTTAGTGCTCCAAACAGTGTGGAGCAATTTTGGCAACTTTTGCAGAGCAAATTTTTTTTCCTTTTCTTTTGGAATTTTTTCCTTTTTTTATTCATATTATTTTTTACTAAATAATTAATTATTATTGATTGTTTACTGTCGTGAGTTGCTTGCCATACCTTCACCATACTAGTATACATATCTTTTTTCTATCCCATACCTTACAGATTTTATCGTACGAAACTAATCCATTGCTTTACACATTTCATCATACAGAGACTAATCCATTTCCATACATTATACTCTAGAATGTACTTTTCTATAATAGACTTGATAAAAAAAAATTCAGGTAAATCAATCAACCGATTTACTTAGCCATACTTCACCGATTTTATCTCTTTTTTTTAAAAAAAAAATTTGACAAATTATACTATATCTATTTAAACCATTTCATTTCCCTTCTAAGATTACCATCCTCTTCTGCTGTACTCTAATTATATTTGACATATTATTTATTTTAGATTAGATAAAATGGAAGAAGAATACAAATTCATACCAGAAATTGTCTCAAACAACGAGAAGTGGAAAGCCAAGGTCATTGTTATCGAAAAACAATCACCAAAATTTCTAAACAAGGCAATGGAAGATATCAACATCTGGTGTTCATGAATACTCAGGTAACTCTTCTTGTTGTTAGTTATAAAAGTTGGCTTCAACTTCAAAACTAAAACTATTAAGACTTCTCATTCATATATAATCAGATAACTAAGAAATTTCTCATCATTTTTCATTTTCATTTTCCAGGGAAATACTATCCAAGCTACCTTGTATGATTCTAATATTAGTGCTTTTGAGGAACACCTTGTTTTCGGGAAAACATATGCCATTTCAAAAGCTTATGTGAAGAATAACACGAGAAACTACAAATATTCGATAGGATCTTGTCACTGGATTATATCTGGACAAACTCATCTTGTTGAACTAAATTAAGATAGTTTGGAATTTGTTTTTTCAACATATCAGCTGACAGCTTTTCGTGAAGCAGAAGAGCATATGGATATAGATGCTGATATAAGTAAGAAATACATATTTTTTTGTTATTCATCATGTTATCTTGAATTATTCAATTATTTATTAGTTATTATATTTAAAAAAATAAGTAGAGAGTCATTTTAAAATTTATACTTTCAGATATACTCGTGGTTGCAATTGATATGACACCCAAACGAATGATTCAATCAAAAGATGGCAACCAAACATGCATACATGATGTATTGCTCCTGGACAAAAATTTCAAAAAAATGATGCTTGCACTTTGGGATTCCTTTGTTGATAGAGAATGTGTAGTAATAGTGGAGAATATGGAGAAAAAACCAATCATTTTTGCAATACGTCTCAGAGTTACGTCTTTCTTTAGTATGTGTTATGTATTTAGTTGCTGGTATGTTTTACATTACATTAGCATATAATACAACATATATATGTGATAATTTTCACATGTATGCAGGTTTGAAATTGTCCACAAAAGTCCGTATTACTTTCTTCATACATACACCTTTCATCGAAATAAAAGAGATGATGGAATGGTATGTAGAATAAATTGATTTTATTTTATTATTCTTTTTTCCTATTCCCTCACCACTATGGATAGTTTCTTGAGGTTATTTCACCTTATTTACTATGTTTACTAGAGTCAAAGAAAATTCAATGAAAATAGATGATTTGATATTGAAAAAAACATACATGGAAAGAAGCCCCACAAATCTTTCTCCACCTATGCGAAGTAAATTTACTCATATTCAGAATCTTCAAGGACGTCTCTTAGCGGTAATGATATTTACGACAAGTTTTATATATATACATATAAAAAAATGTACATACATATTCCTTATTTCGTTTTTGACACCCTCTATGTTTTGACACAGAGGAAGTTTTATTGGGTAAATCGCACAGTAGTTAC